TATTTATCTTTTTATTTCGGTTATAACAACTAAAAATTTAAAGTTAGTTTAACCAAAAAGTAGAGGTTATGACAAACAAGTCATAAGAAGTGGCGTGGGCTGTGGTAGAAACAACCATTTTTAAGGGTTAATATAACCCATAAAGAAAAGTTATTTCAACGGGAAAAAAAAATGGTTAACCTGAACTATATTTTTTTGGTTACTGTAACCTAATAAAATACGGTTACCTGGGATTCAAACCTTAACCATTTTTTTGAGGTCACTATAACTGGTCAGTTTTTACAGTGTATCTTATCAGTTTAGATCCACTTGAACAACTTGCTGTTTATTCTGTATTTGTTGTCAATTTCGCTATAATAACTTACAATAGCAATATAAACTTGATTTTTGAACTCGAATGCTGTTACAGCAGTGGCCGCTAGGGTGGGAATCTCTCGATATTTGATAAAGTGTCCCCCAGTGAACTGGTACACATCTGATGTAGTGCTGAACCGCTGAACAATCTTCTGTTGATCGTAGAAATTGACAACAGTAAGGAACATTTGACCACACACAACAAATGGATACAAAGCAGAGGCTCCACGGGTAGGAATGGATTGAAACAGTACAAACTTGCTTCCATTCCACTTGTATATGAAAGATTCGATGTTGTAAGTAGTGCCGTTGAAGTGATTAGCGAAAGCTAGGAAGGAGTGGCCATTACTGTTAAAGGATTTCACATACCTTGCTCCAGTAGACTCTAGTGACTGGAATTTGGTGAAGTACCTACCAGACCATTTATAGACGGTAGAATTGACGAACTGACCGTTCTTAGAGTTGGCGTAATTCTCAAAGACAAAGAATGTTTCGTTGTTTATTTCAAATGCTTCACCCGATAAAGCCCCTTCGGTCTGTATCTCCTGGTATTTTACAAACTTGTTAGTGTTCCACTTGTAAACAATTGAGCTGATAAAGTGTGAAGTATCGTTATAAAAATTCGAAACGGCGAGAAACGATTCTTCCAAAATCTTAAAAGACGTAAATGATCCTGCCCCGCTTGTTGCAATACTTTGGAAAAGGACAAACTGGTTTCCATTCCACTGGAAAATACCCGAATTCAAGCGGTAGGTGATACCATCATGGTGGCTAGCAATAGCTAAATAATGTGTATTACCAATATTGAAATACTCGATGTCATAGGGACCAACACTGTTTATGGTTTGGTAAAGAACGAACTGTTCCGTCGAAGGATTCATTTTGTAGATAAAAGAATTTGTGCGCCATTGTTCAACGTCGTCATAATGGTTCGCGAAGGCAAGAAACAGACTTCCGTTGATGGTGAAGTTTTGAACATCGCGACCCCCTTTGGTCGGCAAATCTTGATATTGTTCAAAGTGGCGCAGATTGATGCCACAACCTTGATAAAAATGGAAAAACACAGAAGAAAAGTGGTAACTCAGCCTACAATTATTTCAAAAAAGGTTTAAAAAGTCGTTTAACTGTAGCAGGAGAGACCACTTAAAAAAAGAGGGGGCAGGGGGGAGGGGGAGAGGGAGGCAGAAGGGGAGGGAGAGGGAGAGAGAGAGAGAGAGAGAGAGAGAGTTGGGACTGGGCCGGCAAAGAGTTGATGCATTGTACATGTACGGCCTAAACAGGTTCAAACTTTGTATATATAATATTTAGGTTCTTAAATATGCTATTATTCTCTGAAGATGAGAAAAAAAAAACTTAAGTACATTCTAAAACTGGAGTAAATGGAATTTAGTCTCCTTCTTTAAACAAAACAAAACGAAGTAACAAACAAAGAAGAACCAAGAACAACAGCAACATAAAAATGAGAAAAAAGGCAATTTTACCTGCACAGATACGCCCATCTCCAGTAAACCCTGGGTTACATATGCATTCAAAGTATCCAGCGGCATTAATACATGTTGCATTCTCATGGCAGTTATGACTTTCGTTACTGCATTCATCATAATCTGCGCAAAAAAAATAATACAGCATTACCTGATACAGTTACGGGCTGAGTTCTAAGGCACTGATCACGGCCCATCTAAAACCTTTCTTTCGCAAAAATTATAGCATCTTAATGTCGTATGTTGTTCACATTAATATTCGTACAATATTTACATTTCCCAATTTAACGTTTTCCATACCGCCCCCACACTAGCCAGCGTCGACAAGTCATACTTAGAGATACATTTTAGTTGCCAGTGCCCTTGGTGGAATCGCCTGGACCAGATTGATGATTAAATTCAGTATAAAAACTTTCCACTTGAGAGCATTTAAGTGCGCTTTCAAAAAACCTTGCACAACAAAAGCATGTTGTCGTGTGTCCTCTTGCTTTGTTAATCTCGCTTTTCAAAAATAAATTAAAAATAAAAAAAGAGCAAAAAGCTCAGTATTAGGTCGTCTTCGTTTCGACGCAGAAAATAAAACTAAAATACAGTTTAGATCGCATTTCAATAGTGTACGCACACTCCCTTAAGACGAAGGAAAAGGCCGAATCTCGTTCTGCCTCGTTAAACTTTCCATTTGAGGAAATGTGTTTATCGTAAATTTAATTTTAGTAAATATCCTCAAGTAACAATGTTTTAATTTGGTTATTTGCGATTGATACTCATAAGCTCTGATAGTTTATACCTGTACATGACTGTCCGTTTCCCTGAAATCCCGGATTGCACGTACAGATGAAGGAGCCAACGGTGTTTGTACAGTTTGCATTCTTATCACAGTTATGACTCCCGTCCTCGCATTCGTTGATGTCTAAATGCGAAACAACAACATGCATGCAAAAAAACAGGCTAATACAACAAAACTTAGATTACAGCGATATAGTGGCTTATGCACCTATCAATGTTAAGCCGGCGGGGGGTGCGGGGGGTGAGGCAGGGCATGGGGTGGGGATTTGGAATTTTTCAAAAATTTGCCGTCAAATTCCCTGCCCACGGGCAAATAATTCCAGTCAATTGCAATCAAATTTCCCCACCCCGGGCTGCACATTGCTGTCCATTCCAAGGCTGGACCCAACAAAGGCAAAATAAAAATATCTCCAAATAAAACTCTGCAACCTTTATTTATAAACGTTACTGCATCACCAAAGATACATGTTCCTGTTAAAGCTTCAATTATACGTTTTAACCATTCAATCCGTGTTTTAATACAGTGCATAGAATACAGAAATCTTTAGGAGAAAGTCCACATTTTGTAAGTTTGAATATACCATTCTTGGTAAAGGGTACAAAGAAAGTCAGTTTTATAAGCTTTATACGGTGATTGTAGCGAATGTCAGCCATACACTGATCAATTGTACTTGCAAAAATCGACTTGGTTTCTCTTTACTTCCGTTTACTTTGATACCACAGTATCTTAAAAGGTTCAATTGATCAATACAGTAAAATCCACTGGCCTTTGGCTTGCTCTCGTTGGCTTCCTTGATTTCCAGATCTTAATTTCCAGACCATACGTCGCGTGCGTGAAACGTGGAAGTGGGGAAACATATGTTCGGTCTCAGTCTCTTTCGTCCGAGTCGGCAGTCAAATCCATCCCCACGTCAGTCCCACGTCGGGCAAAGAAAGATTCAAATATCCCCTCCCCGTGAGAACAAGATTGGTCAAATGCCTTACCCCAGGGCCAACAAAGACAATCAAATCCCCACCCCATGCCCCGCCCCACCCCCACCCCCCCCCCCCCCCGTCAGCTTTGGGTTCATCTTCTTCTTCCCAAGCCTTTACAGAAAGATAAAAGATCACAGACCGCGCATTTCCGAATACTTGACCATAACGGTTCTGTACTGGCCGCCTGATACTTGTTAAATGTCTTGTTTTCCGTTACCGCACATCCCCCCCCCCCCCCCCCCCCCACCGGCTTTACATTGATAGGTGCATTACCTGAATTCTAGTAATCAACGGAAAAGTGTGCCTCGAAGCATTCCAATCCTGGGTTTACTGCAGCCTTCCGTTATGAAGTCCTGCAGTTAAGCTTTTTAATGTATGACGTTCATGCCAAGACAGCTCCTAAGTGTCTTCTCGATAAGTTTGCGAAAATCAATACAAAACATCATTATAATACGCTATTATCTGCAAAAGAATGTTTCTCTGTCAAATTCTCTAGAACTGAAAAAATGAAAACATTTTTTACCGGAATTGCTGTGTCTAATTGGAATTCTATTCCAGTCTCTATTAAGACTGTCAACATATCTAATTTTCGTAAAAAATTAAATCACTATCTCCTTAATGTTCTAGGTAATGAAGATAATTATTTGAATGTTAATTATTTAATAGAATAATTTATGAAGTTAACTTGATATGTTGTATATACCTCCAGCTGTAATTTTAGTCTTTTTCAAATAACAAAATCCCCTGTACTTAAATTTATATGTAAGGTGTTTCTTTCTGTATGTTATTGTATTTCTTTTCTTTTTTCTTATTTAAAGTCTTGTTCTGCCTAGATTAGCATTATAGCTATTTGCAGGACATAAAGTATTTTAACTTTATATTTCTTTAAATAAATACATTGTTGTTGTTGTTGTTGTTGTTTATTTATCTAAAATTAAGATTCGCTTTTTGGACTTCACGCCGTGGACAACCTCAAATAAAGCATTTTAAAATATTTCCATATTTTAGTTTGATTTAATTACAATGTATGAACCGTTACAAAAGATTCAAAGCTCTGTCAATGCTCCCGCTGGCAACATATACAGCAGCACCATATTGTTTACTTATTTGTTCAACCGGCTTTTTTTTATTAACCAACCTCCTCTACTAACTCATGTTGCAAAGAAAAGTCATTACGAGTTGTCATGGCGACGTCGTTACCAGGGACGAGTAGGAGAGAACCTTGGAAACGAGGTTGTTGTCGTGGTACCAGTAGAACGCTTAATTCACTGAATCGTCGTTGGAACAACTCGCTTCAGGAACCCATGGGATTCATGGTGAGTGCAGAAGTTATAGCCAATCGTCTGACCAATGGCCGGTAAAAGTAGTTTCATTAATTGTAATTAAGATTTCATGTGGCGCTAAAATAACTAATGTTATATGAACAGTATTTAACCCATCGACATGACGGTAAGTGTACATAATAAATTAAAAATGTTAAAAATTGTTAGTCTCGTTTGCGTGAGCAGCGAGACTCATAATCTGCAAAGTGTTTTTCGTTGTATTTAGGACAAAAAGGGAGGTCATTGTGCCAGGCGTTCCTAGCAGAGACCGTGGAAACTGGGAGTAAGAATCATTGCGTGATCAAAGCCACGTATGTTTTGCCGGAAGAAAGCTTAAAAAAGAATAAATTTAGTGCTTTTTCCGAAACGTGTCGGTCCACGAATTCTATCGCTTGAAAGCGTTCATTACTTTGGAACAAGTAAACACTACGTACTGAGTGATCGAAAAAATAAGAATCTTAATTTTTTAATTTAGTAAACCTGCGATGGTCAGGTGTTGTAAACTTTCATTGTATGCAAATGGTCTTGTGATGAGCATGCGATTTATTTTCGGCTGTGATTAAATGACATGCCATGTAAATCACTTTTTTGATCTCTGGCAATGAGATGTAATTATAATTTATCTGGGATCAAGGCCCTTGAATTTCCGTGAAATTTATACACGCGTAAGCCTGCGACCGCAGACGTATTTCCGGTCGTCGCTAACACGCGTACCAAATTAATTCAAAAACAAATAAAAAGTATCCGATTTGACGTCCATAAGGTAGGAAGTAATAAACCTTTAGCGAGTAAATCCTTTTCGAGTAGAATTAATCACCTCCTCATTTCTCGATATAATCTCCAAGCAAGCGAGACTGAACGCCGCTGTAAAGTTTGAAAACAATTAAGCAAAATATGAGAGACTAAGGGAAATTTCAAAAGGTAAAAACCTCCTTCAATGCAATTGAATAATTATTCTTTCATTTTCTTTCACTGGATCTCCGAAAGATGTGGGAATCTGGTAGATAACAGTCGGGATCTGGGTATTCCTGGGTATCCTCATCACGCATAAAAAAGTCTGTTAGTCCGTTCACTCTTACCGTTATTGCATTTTTCACCAGTATAACCAATACCGTCTGGACACAAGCAGAGATATTTCTTATCAGTGAATCCATTCAGGCACTCCCCGTTGTTGAAGCACGGGTTACTGGAGCACATATTCTAATGAAAAGAGAAATCCTTGAAATTTAATAAAACAAAAACAAATTAAAAATTCTACACGTTGTAAGGGACTCTTAGATTTAAAGTCAAGGGCGTTTGCTGTTATCAACTTCAGCCTGGTTAGCTAATTGGTTTGTTGTCAGACGGAAGAAGTTACGAAGTTACTATGAAGCCTTGCCTTAAAAATCCGCCAAACAAATAAAGCGCATTATACAAGCAAAATACTAAGTATTAATATCGGGCACAGAGGCTTGTAAAGCGAGGAATTTTCTGTGTCTTGTCTCTCTTGTTTCCCCCTTTGCATTTTCGACCTGCTCCAATCTAATTAGGGCCTTAATTGCTATAAGTAGCTTTTTGGATTAAGCCGTATGAATCAGACATGACTAGCTGATGAAAGTGTTTCTAACCTCCGTTCCCCTATAGGTCCAACCTGGTGTCACCTTAAGATCACCTGGATTCTGTAGGGCGTCAGCATCATTCAATTCACACACCATTGTGTCATTTAAGACAGGACTAATGTTAACTGACACACAGTCCCTCTCCATGGCACAAAAATGATGACATGATCCGTGAATACCGGTAGAGCGATTCAAAATAGCGTGATTCACGAGTCGTCGGTTATCCCCAGGTGAAATAAATTTTAATCGGCGGCACCCAGCTACGACGAGAACAAAAGAACATAAATTGGCGTTAATTCTCTTGTTTTATAGATTTCAATCCCATGAATTGAAGTCCTAAACATTGTAGAAATAATTCAGAGCAAGCACACATTTGAGAGTCTGAGTTGTCTTTTCCAAGCTCTGCGTATGAGCTTTCCGGGAACGAAAATTGAACAGGATTACTGCAGCCGCGTCATTCACTAAAGTCAGCCAGCTTGGGAGTAGCCGACAGTCAAGAGCAAATAAAAAAACAAACACTTTTTTTTTTCGAAAGAAAATATTCTGCAGCGTCTCTATAAGAAGGGGTCATGAATAGTCCATTGAAATTTTTAACTGCTCGCAAAATTTTACCTTTGCTCTATTTGCTCGCAAAATTTAAACGAGTGCTCGCTCGCTCGTGCTCCCTAAATTTTTGCGTTGCACGCAAGCTCGCAAAGCAAATTTTTTATTTCTGCTCGTGCTCGCAAAAAAATCGCAGTGCTCGGCATGCTCGCGAATGCTCGCAAAGACCATTCGTCACCCCTATAAGAGTAATTAAGACAATTATTTGTTTTTATCAAATGAGTTGAAAAAGAAATTTGTTCAAGGTAAATAATAATAATAATAATAATAACAATAATAATGATAATTAGATTCGAAGTCTTCACAAACAGTTTATTTAATCAACGTACCATCAACTTCGAGTTGACGAAAAATCTTGTTTTGCAAGGCAACCAATACAAGCAAGAACTGTGTTGGACATGGAATTTTTAAGCGAATTGACTGCGTGATCATCATAACTTTTAAAATTTAGAATATCTTGGAATGATTTTCTTTTCTTTCCTCTAGAGAAATATCGGGTTTAATTACTGAAAAGTTTACCTCAACGCAAGTAATTCTGGCCGTTCCCTATAGGAAAAAGGGTCGTTGCCTGAGACCTGAGCCAAGCATAAATTGATGATAGCATTAGGATGTGGTCAAGTGTGATGGTAAAAACTAGCTAGTGGACTCAGATTCACACGGCTCGGGATTAAAGAGCAAACGTTGAAATCGTGTACTTCAGGTCACATAAACTGCAAAATATGTCAGAATGTATTAATGTCACCTTCATTTGCAGTCACTGAGATGCAATTTAGCCAAATACCCCAAAGAGTACAAACCAACATGAAAACTGGTTCTGAATTCCAAGTCGCCATCACAGCAAAAATGCCTGTTCTACGCTTGGGACTAAGTCTACTCAGTAGTTTACTCAAAGCGAACAACTAAAAGATTTACAAGTCATCTATTTTTCACAGCCACACTGAGAGGTCGCGTTTAGCAATTAATTATTCATAAAAATGGTATATCATAAAATTTGGAACAATTTGGGCAAAGTATATTAAGTGATTTGACCAAATTGACTTTCTTAACTGGTAAGAAGCTTTAGGTACGATAGAAGAGCTGCTTTCTCCACCACATCAAACTTTTCGTCAACAAACTGACTCAATTTGTAGGGATTTATTGTCGGAGAAAACTGCCAAATCAGGAGGGAACTACATCACTTGAGGCAATTCTATCCATTGTACGAATTCGAATCTCCAATCGGGACCCGTTTCCTATCAGGTGCGCAGTGGTATCTGATTTGCAATTAGCAATCGACTTTTTACTCACACTGCGATGCGTCGGGGACACGCTCAAACATATTACGTTCCTTTAGAAAAACAAGGATGACTCTCCTTTGCAGGGATTTTATTATTTTATTTCTTTTAGAATGAACAGGAGGAAACGTTTCTATATTTCTAAACTCTTAGGTTATACATTCAAGTAGACACAAACACGAAGAGTAAAGAGTGGTAACTTCACTCCTAAAAAGACAAAGCAAACAAACAAACGGAAAACAAACACAACAACAATAACAACAACAAAACATTAATGAAAAAAAAAATTTAGAAGAATAACGACGGAACCCACAATGCTTAGATGTTTGGAAAGCATCTAGTGAATTGGCATCAGGAAAATGATTTTCTTACGCAAATCACTATACGCATATGCAGAGAAGTTAAAAAGATGTTATAATACCAAAGCTGCTAAATAATAACATTAAAAACAACATAGAAGCATAACAAGAATAAAACTATTTTTCTTTAGACTTAAATTTTTGGTCGGAAGGAATATTCTGCTTGAGTGTGGGCGATGGTTGCGTTACTGCTGACCACGTGACTGAAAGCGCTCTTACTACACGAGCTAGGATGGGACCGGCTTTCCATACTCCGAATTAAGCTCCTTGCATGCAATATAAATGTTAAAGGTGTACATATAAAATGGAATGTTGATAAAATCATTAGTGTAAATATGAAGTTAGAAGTTCTCAGTAAAGGTCACTAAACTAACTGACGTAAGTACACGCCATATCAACGTCAGTGTTGATGAAGATTTAAACTTTAGGAAAAGTCGCGAAGTTTGGCGGTCATAGTATGAATGGTTATTAAAGTTATACCCCTCAATGTTAGGGAGCGCCTCAAAAGCCCCCTCCCCGTGTGAACAAGGGTAATGCATTAAAATACACTCCCATAAATTTATTCTCCCGCTTTTAACTCCAGGAGAAAACCATGGAATGCTGCCTAATTTTCGCTTGGTTAAGGATACATATTCGTTTTCTGACGTAAAATAAAATAAATTAACGAATTTCAATGCAGTTTTATACAGTTTTAGTCAAGCTCGGCTTATTACAAATTATTAACCACAACGTCATGTTATTACAATTTAATTACGATAACTTGGTTATTACAATTTCAGTTTACGACGACTGTTATTACAATTTACGACAGGTATTACAACGACATTATTACAATAAAATTTACGTCAAAAAACTCGGCGGGCCATCATCGACAGATTAATATGTGTAATTTCTAGTGGCGTAGCATGAGAAGCAAGAACAACAAAGCCTGGTCTGATATAAGGTTAAAAAAACTACTGTGACGTAGCAGTTTTCATGCAAAGCAGAGGCCAGCCCGTCGTTCTTGCAGATCTGAAAAGACGACACTGTATTTAATCTGAGGCCTTACTACAGGAAGACTTGTGGTCTTGAAAACAGTTTCCTTAGCAATTCATGCACGTCCTTACCACGCGCGTGCGAGGCAAAAAAGTTTATCACACTGATTCCCACTTTTACAGTATTCCTACTAAGTGGTTTGATGCGTAACCGGGTGGGATAATAAATAGCTTATCCCACAGGCTCAGTGAAAATGCAGCAGAGCTCCTAAAAGTACTCAGCGATACAACAGAATTATTAATTTTATTATATAATTAAGATAGCTAGTTTTTAATATTTGTGTAGATGCTAGTATAGAACAGGGACAACTACTTTTGGAGCGTTTATTTTGCCCTATGTCTTAAAGAACAAGGAATATTACATGCAACATTTGGCGATGCAGTTGTATTGGACAAGCTGTGGATTGCTCCGAAAGAAAACTGGTCAATCAGTATCAATACCGTGAGTTACTCAAAGTTTTTTTCAGGTGATCGTGATGTTCGAATATGGCTTTCTTGAGTTTCTCGGTTTAAATGTCTAAGTACTGTTTCACTGCACCAGGACATAACCTATCCCTGTAATATTCTTATCGCCGTTGTCTGCTTTGAAAGGAGCCAAATTCCCACAATAGTTACCAAGATATCCACTATTACCAAATCCGATTACGGAGTCACAATTACCGCAGTTGTCTTCATTGTTACCCAGAATACCGATTCTTGTTCTGTAGTAGCTGCCGCCACTAGGCTTTACGTTAAACCCTTCCTTGTTACAGTTTTTCTGGAAGGAGGCCTCACAACCAATCAGCGACTTCCACTTGTCACGACCCAGTGAGGTGCCGCGGTATTGCCCATCAGCGATCAGAGAGTACAAGGAGTTCGCCAGCTTGTTGATGACAATAAACCTGACCGGCTGCTGACCGATCTTCATGCCGAGGCAGATCTTGGAGAAGGATGTGCTCCAGTAGGAGGGAAGTTTGGTCTCCTGTGAGTCGAACCCAGTCTTCCCTCCGTCACGGTTTAAGGCTCTTCTGCTTTTCCAGATGTTATTATCGTAACGAAAAGTACTCTGTGAAAGAATTTTAACTCCTTAGTGAATTGACTAATATAAAAACTGATATAAGACTTGGTTGGAGCTTATCCATTCCCCCTTTAATTCTCTTAAAACCATGTATACACCTATTCCAATTACATGTAAGTTTGCTTCAGTGAAAAATGATGCATATTGCAAGATCCATGTTTCAGACCCTGTGATGCTTTGTGATAAACGTTTACTTAGCCCTTTTGTAAGCAGGACGTTTAATACATTACTTTTCTAATTACTTATTGCTTTACTTATCCATCAAGAATTCAGGAATAAGTCCTTTCTTGTGGAAATGGAATAGAATAGTACAGGACATGGCTGACAATACTCTGTTGTTATGGCAACTTCCATGTTGAAGTTTACGTCACGAACAACATGAAATGTCCCCAGCTAAATTTTAGATAAAATCGCAAGGTCTGGTGGCCATAATGACCCTAAACGGTTTTGAAGTCCCCCCCACCCCCCACCCATCCAATAATGCTCCAACCAGCTGAAGAGCTTTCAGAATTTCACACAGACTATTTCATGTACGTTGATGAGTTCAAAATAATCAATAAATTTGCAAAACAAGAAGGGAATTTGTTGGAACTTAAAAGGGAACGGGCGTTAGACTGATCCGAGACAAATACTCAGCAGATGTTACCTTGTTGCCGTCCATCTTCATTACCGGTGTCCATCCTCCATCTCCACATCCAAAATCTCTCAAATTGAAATGACAAAGAATAGAAATTGGTTCGGAGTCAAGGATTAGAGTAACCAAGTGAGTCCCGTTCAACCTACAAATAAAATTCAAGCAGGACTCTTATTTCTTTCAGCTTTTATTTTCATTTTGAACTGCCACAAAAAAACTATGTGTAAATACTGTCTACGAAAAATTTAAGCAATAGAAAAACAAACAAAACAAAGCACAATTATTGGACCGGGCCTTCATGCAATATGAAAAAAGCAGTTTTTTTAACACAAAGACGTCCCTCATTTTAAGGTATTCAAGCTGGCTGCAGAGAGGGGAGCAGATCAAGTCTCATTTTGCAATTGCTGTATATTGTATTGATGAGAATTTGAACGCAATTAAGGGTCAACATATGAGTTGTACACCAATTATTTTTCCACTATTTCTGACGTGTATAGGAGGTTACAATGCAGAACTTTGTGTTACATTAGGGATGATTTGCTGACCTTGCACCCAAGTCTACTACTGAACTTAGCCTGAGAGTATGCTCTCCTATTTAGGCGAGCGAAGCGAGTCGAAGCGCCGAGGAAAGAAGTGATCGTTCCAAGCTCTCCTTTCTCTCCCCCGCCCCCCGCTTTCGTTTCTCCTCTCGCGTGTCTCTCGGGCGTCAACTTCTCATGATATTCCCCAAATGGAGAGCTTGCTTGCAGGCTTCACTGAACTAAGAATTACTAACTGTGATATTAATAAAGGGCTCGGGCTCCCTGTGCGAAAAATAAACTCAAAGAATTCCATTAATTTAAGTCTCATATTAAGCCAGAAAAGTAGACTTTTTCGTCTCCTTTCAGTAGTAGATCTACAGACAACGAAAATCACATTCTATCACTTTTTTTTTTTG